TAGTGCCCATGGAGGAGTATTATGGAGGTGAATAATAGAGATAGTGGATTAAGAGATAAGATATTAGAGATACTAGATTGCAGGACATATCCATGTATTGATGTATCTGTACGAAGTGTGGATACTCTTAACTTTCTTTAGTAAATATATATTTTTTGAAAACCGTGTTATAGCCTTAATCTATATCATCTAACTTCGGTCAAATTTTCAGACCTTAAACACACAAAACAAAATATGAATAATTAAAACACATTTTTGTAATACCTTCTCTCAGCTAAAAAGTATGCATCAAAGAATCAACAAACGGTTGCAAGCTCAAGCGGGCAAAGTTTGTACTCATTGACAATATTATAAGGCGACGGAGGCACTCGGGATAAGTTTAAGTCGAATTTGATTATTGAAAAAAAAAACTGAAAACTTTATTTAATTTTTTTTTTTACACAACGCGAACTCGGTGAAATCGTATTGGCACAGTTAAAAACTTACCAAAACTTCCAGCCGGACGAAATAAAGTTGGTAATACTCAAGTTTCAAAACAAACGAAAAACTTTTTAAGAGATGAAAAAAAAACCTCCATTAAAAGTCTGCGTTTATTATAACGTCTCGGTAGTTGTTTATTATTATTAATATTAATTGGTTAAGGACTTCCAGTTGTTCTAGGTCATATTATAATATATATATTATGTGGCCCACATGCAATCCAGTTAAACTTGCTTTGGGTGATTACTATCATCATATTGTAATGCTGTTTCCCAACTAACATAACATTATAATGTATTTTTATTATTCTTTTTTAACTTTAACCGGGTACCGTACTTTCGACAGAGGGTTGGACTCTCATACATTATCTTACCTTTTTTTTTTGTTGAGAGGGGCATTGTTTTTTAGACGTTTAATCCTGTTTTGCTTTTTTTGTTTTCCTATTTTTTGGGTTTTTTTAATGTTCAAAGCGCAATTTTTAATCGTGCGAATAATGTGAATACTTGTCACTCTATTTAAAAGTAAAAAAACAACCTCTTTGAATTTCGAAGCCTACTACAAGTGGATGCACCCATTTAAAATTGTTAGACGTTTTTACTAGTATCTAAGCCAAACCCAGTCAAATTTACTTGGATTTATGTGAAAGAATGGAATTTTCCGACTTTTGACTTAAATGTGTGGTCAATTGGTGTAGGTACGTTATCAGCTATTCGACCTAAACGCTCTGTGCATCGGAGACCAGCAAAGTTGTTTTGAAAAATTCGAAAGGCAATTATTATTGAATTACTGCAAGGTGTATTTGGCAAATCCGGTATAGGTTATGTTTTAAAAATTCATACAACTACACGTGCTACTGTGCGGTTTGATATATTTTATATTTATTAGAAAACCGCTTGATAAATAATTGAGAAACGCACGTCCGTTTACTTATATATTATATCCGTTGACATCGGTAGAGACATCGTCCATTACTGTCTGCTGTCTAAAATGTTGGTACATGTGCGCACTAATAATTTATTAGTTTTTAGAAGAAGAAAAAAACAAGGGTTCGGTCAAACGCCAATTTTTCATTAATTGGAAAACGTACAGACCGAGTTACATGAATTTTTTAGATTTTCTATTTATTTTATCTCTGGACGAGCCATACCAATATTGAGTTTTCTTCAGCAAAGCCCAAAGTTCAAAGTGAATTTCGACAAATTCACTGTCATATACACTGTCAGGGGTGGAAATTAGTGGGGGGCTTAGTCCCTTCCTTATGTATTTTTATGTTCATTGACTTTATCTAACTTAAATGTACTGTTTCCTGAGCTCCCCTCCCCCCTATTTTGTATTATAGACCCACGTTCAACCCATCTCGTCCTATGATGTATCATCTATTAGCTAGACCTAACCATCTCTTGTGTGCGTGTAATCTATTTTACTATCTTGGCTCGTCTTTCTCAGTATTTGCATCTCGGTGACTTTCGTTTTTTTGTTCCAATTCTAAACTTGTTCACACGGTCTGTCACTCGGTTTAATAATTCATCGTGTCAATCCCGTTGTTTAGCTTGTACAGTAATGATAATAATAATAATTGTAATACAATATTCTTCCTTTCACCCTACGAAGCGCATTGCACACTTGTCGTTTGTGCCCTCGTCCAAGTGTAGTGCAATATTTTATTCGGCTCATCGTTTCAGTAACGATTTTTAATTTCTTATAGATCATAATAAAGAATATTTACGATAACAAAAACGTTTCTAAAGTAATTATGTAAAGTAACATTATGCATAGGTACATATTGTATATTTCAATGTAGCATTTTGACAAAAAAAAGAAAAACTTTTACAAAATTTTAATTTTAATTTGTTTTTGCTAACGTTATGACTGCAAAAAACTTCCCCTCTTATACAAATTTTAATACTTAATGAATAAAAGCTAAAAAAACAAAAAAAGGGAACAATTTGATTTGTTTATTATAAGTTTACATTTGACAATAATACTTTTTTGAAAATATCTTTAAAATGTTTAAAAAAATTGTTTGATACAATTTTGAAATTATTTTAACTTTTTTGCTCTTTAGATTTTTTTGTTCTTTGTTGCAAAACATACAACAATTTTTTTTATAAGATTTTCTCCGATGGGTGGATTTTTCCACACGGTTTCTTCGAGTTATTGTTTAATTACAAAATGTATTTGTATTATACAAAATAAACGCTTATTGTAAAGATTATTCTCAGATTGTTTTTTCAATAAGAAAAATATTAATTATTTTCTACTCTTTAAAAGCTTTAAGTTTAGTAAGGGATAGGGTCGAAAAATATATAAAATGTTGGCTGATTAATAACCGTGGAAGTATGCAGCAACTAAAAAAAAACTGATAATATCTTTTATAGCTGATATTGGCTCTGATAATCGTCTTGTGTAGATGTGAAATAATGTGTATCTCAGACATAACCTCAGACCTATCTCGTGTATAATGTGATAGTAGATACATTTTCAAGGGAACCTTTTGTGTATGCCACCCTTGTATCCGCCTTGGAATATTAGTTCAAGCAGCGTAGCAGATGGAGGTCTTATTTCTGGTGGTTTTCTTCGCGCACATACACCGTTTTGTAACGCTTCCGGGGATTTTTCAAAAAATTCCTTGAAAATCGTCATATTTGCAACAAACGACAAGGACAATAATAAGATATGTGTCCTTTGCTTTGTGTGTGTGTGTGCAAACATTCTTGAAGCGTTGTGGGTGTATACCTGCTGCCAGACATTGTCGGCAACAGACCCTTTTTTGGGACCATTAAAAAGGTATAACGCATAGGACGAGAAGTATACATATACATATATATATATTGTGAGTGGAGGTGAAAATAATGTAATGATTTAATACACGCACACAACATACCATCGCTGTTAGTTGGAAGAAGAGATGTGCGAAAAAAATAAGAAAAAAAACGTGGGAACGTGAAAATCTTGTATTATTATCGTTGTAAATAATACAACAATAGTAATAAGAAAATTATTCAAAAAAAAAGATTATCGGTAATTTTTGGACTTTATTTTTTTACATATACATAATTTATAATATATATATATAATAATAATATGAACACAATTACATAGTTATTTTATTTTATTTTATGACATAATATTATATTATTATTATAATAACAATGATCAATAAAATAATAATATTATAACCCTATATAACGCGTACTTAATTAAATTTAACATAGTAATAATATTTGAACGTATCTTCCGTTACACACACAGTTTGGCTAAACTAAAATTTTAATAATGTTTTCCCATTTTTTTTTTTTAATAAATATATTTTTTATACTTGTTTATACCTACACTGGACACGGACATGACTGGCGGATGACGTTTGATGGAAAAAAATTGGTAAAACTGCTGGACCAAAATAACTGAAACACTTTACTAGGCTGTATTTTTGACAAACTTATTTTTGGAGTGTGTATTAAATAGCTGTGTGAAATAGGTTGGTAAGAATAGTACTTATACAATAAGTTATTAATAATTATTATGTAAATAAAAAACATAATTATTATTATTGTACTCTTCGAACATGATGGGTGCACGTGACTGTATACCTGTGAGTGCATGTCTTTATACAGGGCGATTACCTTTAAGTATAAGACATACATTGGTTTTCGCTTAAAATAATATCGCAATTTTTTAGCGTTTTTTTTTTGGACACGTTTTAGTTGTTTATGTTGTTTTACAATATTGAAATTTTTATCTTTTTCATCTTCTTCCAGAGCTCTATAATATATTTAATTGACTTTTTAAATTAAGAATAATTGCTCGGAAATGTTGACAGGTCAATAACCAGTTTTTAGATAATTACTATAGAGTTTGGAGTTTAGCTCTGAAGACAAAATATATTCGATCATTTTTAAATATTGTAAATAAATAAACATAAACTAAAATGTATCCAATATGAAAAACTACCAACTGTGTCTTAACTTTATGAATCGTCCTGTACTGTTGTCGTGTATGTGCTATAATCAAAATGGTTTTTGATCTAATAGGTTAGGTAAGTAGGTATTTTTTTTTAGATATATATTTGGGTACTGCTGCATAATATTATTCCCCCCCCCCCCGACTATATTATATTATATTATAGACTTGTAATAATAGTATATACGGCTACGGCAAATAATTTAAATACTAAACAAAAAAAAAAAACGTTAAAATAACATTTATCGGAGGATTAACAAAAAAAAAAAATGTTATACAGTAAACCTATTTTTTTTATCTAAAGTAATCAACACAAATAAAAAAAATATCATTAAGGCGTTTGTTCACATTTGAGTCGCACAGGAAAAGCCATAAGTGCTTATATAGTAATAATTATAATTATTAACATATAATAATATAATATATATTATTAATAATTGTCGTTTTATACAAATATTACATAGAAAAAAAAAACGTTTTTATGTTTTGTGCTCGTTTTAAGGTAAACATATATATTTTTTTTTTATTAACGTTACTACATAACAACTTATTGTACTATTTTTACAAAAAAAAAAATCACATTAATAAACAAAAAAATTATTAACATATTATTATGGTTATCTATCGTGTCATATATATATATAATATTTTAATATCAATATAATATAATATTGTAATAGTCGATTTTGCGAGCACAATAATATCAATCGCCAAAAAAGAAAATACAATACAGACGGACTTGGCCTACCTACACGAGCTCAAAGTAAATCGATTTTTGGGTTAAATGCCATTTTTTTTTTTGCTGTTGTTGCAAATGTATAATATATATTATATTATTATGTACTATTCTATACTGGTGGACGTTTTGTAAGGAGAAAAAATTACCTAAAAACAGCTCAAGACGACCCCAAAAAAAAAAAAAAATCGATTATCAATACCCGTGTCGACCTTTTTACTGTAAACTCTGACGTTTCTCTTTCCAGTTTTATCGTTGGGACTTGTATGATATTGTACATTATTGTAGCGTTAAAATGTTTTGCTATATTACTTGTATAAATATATTACTTGTTGTTATAAGGTGTGACGTTTTGGAAAAATCTAAGATTTCAAAAAGCCTAACGCTGTCCGGAGGGTAACTCGTTTTTACCTAAGTTTAACTATGTAAATATAAATATTATATTAAATTATATTGGCGAACATGCATTATTATTATTAAGCAACGGAAATATATATGAATACCAAAAATTGTTTTCCTGTTCAATATTAATATTTTGTACAATACAGGGTGATCCATCTGATGTAAGACAGTGTTTTCCCATACTTATTTCACTAAGTACTTTTTCAATACTTTTGAACATTTTTACCTTCGTCTCTTACAAAGGGTGCGACAAAGAAACGAGCGGATTTTCCCCCATTTAAATGCATTGGAAAATCGCTCTTGGATGAAAGGACGAAGATGAAAAATTTCCCAGTATCGAAACTTACAGTAAACCCTGGATCACTCTGTATGCATAACGAATACAGGTCTTATGAGTAAGTAACGGGTAAGTAATGATATTCTACAAGCGCCTAAATGAAAACCTATACTATTTATGGCATATTATAATTATAGATAATAGTCGTTGTATAGAGTTAAAAAAGAGTGTAATTTATATATATATATAATAAGTATAAAAATAAAGAAACAAATAATTATTACATTTCAATTTGTTATTTTTTTAGGAACTGTATGGGACACACCGTTGTGTTGTTTTACACGGTTTTCGCCTTTTTTTATATTTTCATTTTTAAAAAAATTAACAACAACAAAAAAATATACTATGTATGTTACTCGAGCCGATAGTAATTGTTGTTGTTTTTAGCGTTGGCCGCCTCTTGAAGAAGTTTTATGGCCGTTTCGGTCTGCAAAAGAAAACGAGGAAAACCAGGAAAATAATAAATTACATTATACAATATTATAGTAAAAAATTGTAGACAATAATATTATTGTATGTACGTACCTCTTCGTGTAGGCGTTTTATCAGTCTAGCCCGGTCGGCTTTTAATTTGTCTGTCACGTTGGTTTGTTTGCCGTTGAACTCCATCAGTGCCAGATGGGCGTCCTTTTCGCTTATGGCCGTTTCCAGAGCTTCTTGTCTGTAAAGAAAAAAAAATGAGTAAATTTCCAAATAACAAAAATAAAATATACAATAAAAAATATTTAATACCCATGTCTACATTTAAACATATGTACCAAGATGTAATGTTATCTTGTGTATTGATTACCTAACCCGAGCTGCTGCTGCTGCTGCTACTCGAGCCAAAACCTTATCATTATTGTGAATTTCCAAAAAAACAGTTTCACACAAATTCGGAATCGACCAAGACCGCCGACTTGTTTTAATACCAAAAAACGATCGTTTCACACGATTCGAGTGGGGAAAAAAACAAATTATTATTATTATTATGTGTAAAATCTCGATTATAGAATATTCTCCTATTGTTTCTATAACGGCCGTGGTGACTATGTTAACGCTCATTGTCGTCTCAACATTGAACACAATGGAAAGGGTCACGGCTGGCCTCCTCGAGCGTTTCCAGCCGGTTACCCTATCTCTAAACATTGTCTAAAAAAAAAAACGTTGTTGTTATGTCACCTATACCACCTACGTTTCACCTAGCCTTCGATAACGTTCCATATTATCGTACAGCTACGGCTAGCTGCTGTAGACCAGCGCAGGTAGGCAGGTAAACGCTATACTATGACTACTAGGTACAGCATAGTTTAAATGACAAATACCCACCTTAGCTGGGACAGCTCTTGAAGTTTCAAATATCTTTCCGACTGGATACAACGCAGTCGTTGTTCGAGGGCTTCCATTTTCTGGTACGTATCGCGACAGTTGATGCATTCACCCGACGACGACAACCGTTCCTCCAATTTGCATACCTGTTGGTTAAATTCAAAATATTACAATAGGTGCACATTGATTTACATTACCCGATATTAACCAAAAAAAAAAAAAATCAATATCCCGTTTATTTCAATAAATTACAACTGTATGAGGTTTCAGAGAAAAACGAGGGGCAGAGTGTAGGCAACACAACGTACACGACCGACAATAATTATTATAACCGTCCCCTTTGGCACTAATTTTAAGTTTTAAGGTTTTTATGGTATCCCATGCCACTACCCCCTCCATTTCCGCCCATGTCCCAACCCCACTTTTTATTATGGGCTTTTGATAAGTATTTATTATGTTACAGAAAATTAATAAGTATTTAATATGTTTAAGAAAACTCTGTGTATATTACAACAAATCGAATCGCTGATTTCAGTAACCGCATGTTAAACTGCGTTTACACTTTTATCACGTTCTAAACGAGTACATTATAATTGTTCACAATAAGAGTGAGGAGGCGACACGAGCCCGGTCGTTCAAAGTACTCCCATAGCCGCCTAACAATGGCTTTAATTAGCGCAAAAACATTGAAAAATAATTAATCAGTTTCTATTTTTGAAATCCCCAACGGTTTTGTTAATGTCGCCTCGTGTGGGTTCTGCAATCAGCGGTTCAATTAGTGCATTTGACTTTATACAATTACACTTGAATTATATACAAACATTATAATATGAACTTTACAAGTGTTGTATTTTATAAGTCCTAAGTTGGCCTTCGCACAAGATCTAATAACCTAACCGCTATTTTTACCTGGTCTTGCATGTCTTTTCTTCTGGTCTGTTCTCTGTACAGGTCGTCTTCCCTGTCCGATATTATCGTGACGCTTTCTTTGAGCGCTTCTTGGAGTTCTTCGATGTGGTCGTTTTTCAGTTGAACCACTTCGAGTAACTCTTCCAGCTCGACCGCGAATTTGGACTCGAGTTCGTTCTTCAAAGTGCCCATTCGATCATGTAACGTGTCTGTACTCTCGAACCGATCTACAATGATCTACGTGGAGGGGCGCAAAAGGATAGAGTGGTTTAACGAAAAACAATAAAATTATAAGCAAAAATAATAAAAAAAAACGATAACAACTAAAAAAAAAAAATCATAATATAAAAAACAATCAAAAACCTACAAACCCATCTATCCTACCTACCTATATATTATTATAATAACATAGTATGATAGTGTTAATTTATTTTAAATTTAGAACTTAGTTATTATTATAATTATGTTTAATCGATGGATAATAATCGTTAATCGACAATTTATTAATATTTACAATAATTTCAATTTTTATTTTTTTATTAATCGAGCAAGAAATTAAAGACATCATTTTATGTCATTATTAAGCTTAACAAACCGCGGCAGCGAATTTAACGAGGTATTCGATTTGTGTACAATATATTATGATAATATAATATTAATTTACCATTATAATATAATATCATAAACATTAATGTGCAACGACAAAAAATGAGAATTATCAAACAAAATATATTAACCGTATTATTATTTTTGCGTAAAGAAGTTGCTTGGAACTTAAATTAAAATCATACCAGCTCGTAGAATATATTATTATAATATAATATTATTTTTTCTTTTTTATTCCAAATAGTAAGTCTTATAGAGAGATATGGCTTATGTTAAAGTAAAAAATAAAAATATATAATCGTTTGTTTAATTATTGAAATAGTCCTTTTAAAAACGTAGCTGGGCCAGGCTGAGCGTAAAATAATAAAAAATAAAAGCAATAATCAAATAATGAATAACAGGAGGTAGATAGGAATAAAAGAGATTACAGACAATATCATGTTAGTAAATTGTACATAATTCACAGGCATTTTTTAAGCAATGTAAAAAATCAAAACGCCATTGATAATAAACGCGTATTATTATTATTATCATACTTGTGTGGTCACAGGTCGAATAATGGTAACGCCAAAAGAAATGGTTTGTGTTGTAAGTGTTATTTTTTTTTTGTATAAATAAAAATACAAGGACACGTACAGCAAAAATCATTTATCTTTGGAGTTATCAAGATAATAATTCTGTAATCACAGCTGTTGTATTTTTGATGATAGTTTACCTCGTCGTCTTTCTTCGGTTGCCTCGGCTGTTGATGTTGTGGCTGATGCGAAGGCGTGGGCGGACCTCTCGGTTTGGGTTGTGCATTTTTCAGCGCTCTAATTTACAATATACAACGTTCATTATATGTCATAATAATTTAGACTTTAGAGTGTACGCAAGTGAGTGTTGATCAATCATATGGACAAGAAGCTGGTAGAAGAGATGCTTCAATAGCGGGAAAATTACAAGAATATGTATCGATACAATTAAAACAGAAGAGAATACCGTGAAAGTGATTGTTAAAAGGTAAAAGTAGATCAAAGGAGCAGTTGGACGACGTCCAGGCATGGAGGTGAAGTATATGCACATGAAGTCAATGATTTACAAGGAATAGGGCGAGGAAGGACAAGACGTATACGAAGCAGTAACACTTAAAAGGGTATTGCTTACTCTTGTAAATCTCTTATTTGTTTTTCTTTGGCGTTTTGCTCCTCTTGGCCCATCTGCACGACTTGCAACAGTCGTTCCATGTCCGTCTGCGATCTTCTCGCTTCTTCTTTGCTTTTATCTAGTTCTTTCTGCAGAATTTCAATTTGGTTTTGTAATTTTTTCACAACATCACTGTCTCCGGTTTGGGATTTTCCCTGAAAATATTTTTAACGTTATTAAGACAACATGGCATATAATCAGGCAGAAGATAGGCGAACGGAGAGAGGAGAGAGACTGCCTACTTTGTTTATTTGCGATTCTAACAAATCGAGGTTTTCTTTGCGTTTCTTCAACTTGGCGTCAAGTTCGGCCACGTGCCTTTCTTTTTCTTCGAGTTGTCTGGACCGACCGTCGATGCTCTTTCTTAACTCTTCCAGCTGTCGTCGTTGGGCTTCCAATTGTCTCTTTTGTTCTTCGAGTTGTGCTTTTAACGAGCTCGTTTCCTCGGATGCTTTCGAAGACGTTATCTGTATCCTCTTCTGAGCTTCTTGCAGTTCGAGCTAATAATTTAAAACATTCATTGATTATTATTAATAGAAAATTACTATGTAATTCGCATGGGAATAAAACGGAAACAAACAAAAAATCAATAATAATAATCAAACAAAAATCCAATGTATGTATTTATAAAATAAATTAAAAATAAAAAATGTTTAAAAAAATTATAATACACAAACAACTACATAATGAAGACCATAATAACGAACAGTTTTTAAGCAAACCTGCTTCTTTTCGAGTTCAGTTTTAAACTGATGGTTCTGCGATTGTAGTTTATCCTTTTCCAACGCCAGACTCTTTAGGTCACCTTGAGTGTGGTCTAGTTCGTCCAAAAGTTTCCTCACGTCTTCTTTCAACGCACTATCGTTGGACGTGGCCGACACTTGGAGTTGTTTTTCTAACGTCGACACCTTGGACACGAATTCGTCGGTTCTCTTCTTGTTGTCCATTTGAATGGCCTGAAGTTGTTTTTTAAGTTCGGCTATGCTAGCTTCTTTGCTGTTGACTTGCTGCTGCGCCGACTGCAATTTCTTCTGCAGATCTTCCACCACCAGCCGCTGTGCGTCCATGGACTTTTGCAAGTTGACTCTCTCGCTGTCCACACCTTGGTTTCGCTCTCTCAGCGCCGCTTGCATTTGCTGTATGCTCTGCTGCAGCGCTTTGGACTCTTGCTCCTTGACCGCCAAAGTCTGTCTACAGAATTCCAATTCTTTGTCTTTGGTCTTGATCAGCTCTCTCAGACGCGAAGAGTCTTGTTCCGCGCTCTGCTTTGTGTTCACGTTTTGGTTTCTCAGTTCGTTCTTCAACTTTTTCACCTCTTCCCGTTCTTGCTCCAGGCTCTTTTCGGACGTTTGCAACTTGTCTTGGCATTGCAACAAAACGGATTGTGATTTTTTCAGCATGTTTATCAGTTCGTCCCTCTCGGACGTTACTTTCTTCAGATCCGCGTCCAATTTGGTCATCTGTTTTTGGGCCTCTTCCAGGCGCCTCTCGTTGACCTTCTTCTGTTTGAACAGTTCGTCTCTTTCGTTCAGCAGTATACCGGTGCTATCGAACCGCGCTCTCCACTCTTTCAGCTGTCTCTCTTTGACTTCTAGTTTTTCTTCTATAACGGCCTTTTCTTTAAGGACAACGGTCAGCTGTTGTTCGAGCTCTACGATACCTTCGGTGTCGTTGCGCTCGGTTTTCGTTTGAGACTTTTTGTGTTGTTCAAACGCTCGTTTCACCTGATTGAGTTCGGATTCCAGTTTGAGTTTCTCTTCGATAATCCTGTGACATTTATTTTGACTCTGCTCCAAACGCTCCCTGAGCAGATCCTCCGAACCCGACCGGTCGTAGTCTCCAAAGTCCCTGCACGTGCTCTGCGACCTGCCCAAAACGGGCTTGTCTCTCGTGAATCTGTCGTACTCCCTTTCCGGTTTGAACTGTAACAGCTCGGCTTCGACGCGGACCAAATCCGTTTTCAACCTTTCGTTTTCCTTCTTCAACTTGTCCACGTCCATTTGAGTCTTGTACAATTCTATTTCGGTTTTCTCTTGTGTCTGTTTGGTTTTGTTGTAACGTTCCTTGGTCCTTTCCAGGTCGAAACTAGTCTGCTCCCCGACCATTGCTATGTCGTTCTTGAGTTTTTCATTGTCCGAGGTGAGTTTATCGAATTTGATTTGCATTTTCTCGTGTTCCAACACTAGTTTTTCATTTTCCTTTTTAAACTTAACGTACTCGGATTTACTCTTCTCCAGTTCCATGTTGAGGTCCCGGATTTTCTCTTCTAGTTTCTTACACGCCGTTTGCATTTTCTCGGCTCGTTCTACTTCTTGAGTGTATTTATTCCTAAACATTTCTAGTTCTTCTTTGATTCTCTCCTGTTGTCTCACCGAGTACCTTTCGGCTTCTTCCTTGTAGCTGGACGCTTGCGACTTGTAAGAATCGACTTCCGTCTGTGATTTTTTATACTCGCTCATGAGTTTGTTGTATTTGTCCATCGTCTTGTCCAACTCCACCGTAAGTTGATTGATTTCTTTTTGCTGATCTTCCAGCATGGCTTGATTCTTGGTGATTTGCGAGTGCGCTCGTTCCATTTCATAGGCGTTGTTCATAGCATCGGATTGAAGCTTGTCTCTTTCCCCGTTCAATCGCCTGTTGTCCATTTGTAATTTATCACATCGTTCCTTCAGTACGTCCAAGTTGTTTATAAGATGGTCTTTTTCATCTTTGAATTTGTCTTCGACGTCCTTGGTCCTCTCCAGTTGCATCGACAACCTGTCATAGGCCTCTTGGATTTCTTGAATTTCACATTTAGCTTTCCTTTGGTCTTCCCTAGCTTTCACCGTGTGCAGTTGCATTTTTTCCATTTCCAATTTGATATCGTCCTTTTCGTTTTCGGTCGTTTCTAATAACTTTTTCAGCTGGTAGAATTCGTTTTGCAACCTAAAATCAATTGGAAAATTAATATTTAGACATGGAGTCATTTGTTATCAATTATTTACCTATCGTGTTTCTCCATAATTCTGTCTACTTCATCTTTAGCGTTGTTCTTTTCTTGTACGGATTCGTACATAGTTTTTTGACATTTTTCTAATTTTTCTTTATGCATTTCGATCTCATTCATGATGTCTTCTTTTTCAAGCTAAACACACAAAGGTAACAGACATTATTTAATATGTATTACAAGTGCTCTTGTAACTTTCACTAGCAATCTTAAACTTAATACTTCATGTCATATTATATAATGCTCTCTCACGAAAGTTTGGCAAAGCGTTACTTACTTGTGTTTTTTTTAACAGTGACTGAGTCTTTTCGAACCTCTCTTCGGTTAAGTCGAGTTCAGCCTGTAGCTTTTCTTTTTCCCGTTGATATTTCATTATTTGAGAATGGAACAAGTCAGCGTCGTTTTTGTTTTTCTCGCTGTCGTCTAACAGTTGACTTTTTTCTTTTTGCAATCTAGCCACCATCGACTAAACGAATCAAATTAAAATGAATATAACCATTTTTTGTTACAGCGTTAAATATACAATAACATCGACTTACTTGACTGATTTCGTATTTGCTCTTCAAGCTGTCCAAGTCCATTTGAATGGTGTCTTTGTCCTTTTGCAAACGCGACGCTTGTGCAAGTGCTTTGTCCAGTTGGGATTGCATGTTTGTGAAATCGTATTGGTTTTGTTCTTTTTCGACGTGCAACTGAAAACGAAAAAATAGCGATTAATATACATAATATATATTGTTCTTTAATATGATAAGTTTACTTTTCTAAGTTCGCTGGTCACTTTGTTCAAGCTGTCTTGCGCTCTGTCAGATTCTCTTTGCGCATCGTCCAGAGCCATTTGCAGTTTATCCTGTTGCAGTTGGGCTTTGCCCAAAGTGCTCTGAGATCGCTCCAGCTCTTCTTTGGTCTTTTCCAGCTCGACAAGCGCCTTTTCTCTCTCAGCCAAGATTCTCGTCACGCTCGACTGGTTGCGGTCGTACTCTTCTTTGGCGTTGTTGATGTCGCCTTGAGACTTCTCCAGCTTCGTCACCAGCCGGTAGATTTCTCCCTGAGACATTTCGTGTTTCTCTTGCAACGTCTTCAGCTCCATCGTCAGCTTGTCGTTGTCTGCGCGCGTTATGCGCAGGTCCGCCTGAGCCGCCCTTAGATCCGCCAGCGCTTTGTCGGCCCGGTCTTGGATTCTCTCCATTTCCTGCGACTTGGTCAACGTGCTCCGGCCAAAAGTGGTCTGCGACAACTCCAGGTCTTGCCGTAGCTGAGCGTTTTCCAATTCCAGCCGGGCGAACTTCTGCCTGGTGTATTCCCAGTCGGCGCCGCTGCGGTTCACCTCGCTGGACGCCTTTTCCAATTCCGCCTTGGACTTGCCCAGCTCGCTCTGCGACTGCTCCAGCCGCTCTTCCAGCCGGTTTTTCTCGCAGTTGGCCCGGTTCAGACGGGCGTGCAGCTTTTCCACTTCGCTTTCCAGCGAATGCAGTTTCAACTTGAAGTCGGCCACGTCCCGCTCGTGCAGGTCCCGCTCTTCCTGGCGGTCCTGTTCGGCCCGGTCTCGCTGCTCTCTCAGCTGATTCATTTGCTTCTCTTTGTCGCCAATGGCCTCTTCCAGACTCGTCACGGCGCCTTCCGACGAACACTGGTGGGCCTGGAGTGACGCCAATCGCGTTCTGGCCATTTCCACTTGGTTGTCTTTCTCTTTCAGCAGGTCCTCCAGGTTTTCAATCTGTATTGTTCAAAAAACCACATTAAAACGTTAGTCCGCAAATGCAGAACAATATATGTTTCAAACTACTTACAACTGGTGTTACAAAGCTGTACTTTAACGTGGCATGCACTTTGAAAAATTTAGATACACGAGTATAAACGTTTAAAATAAAATAAAATTAGGTTCAGCTAGTAAAATTTACAAAAAAAAAACACTATAAAATGATAAAAAAATAATAAAAATGATATTAACAATATCCAACTCAACAAAATAATAATAATAACAAAGCCGATACATCTCAACGGCGCAAAGTGAAAACAACTATTACAAAATCCTGCGTAAATAATAAATGCAAATATTACTCGACCGTTACACGGTAAAAAAAAATAATTCAAAATAAAAACGTCGGTTATAGCAAAACGAACGTACCTTTCTTTGGAGAACATTGATTTTGCGATCTTTGATGTCCACATGATCCTTGATTTCGTTTATTTCACTCGTTACTCGGTTTTTCTCCTGTGTGGCTTGTAGGGCCACTTGTGTCTTCTTTTCGATCATCCGGTTTTTCTCTTCCAACCGGGAACGCAATTCTTCAACCTGTCGGTGCAATAGCGTTTAAATTGATTTTTATAGTTAACTTCGCAGGTCATTATTGTTTGTAAATAGGCTTCATATAGTAAAAAAAAAGTAGGGTTTTATTATATCTTCACAAATATAAGATTTTAATATCATAACGTTATAATAATATATAAGATCTCCGACTACGGTATTTTGTGAGTCGTATCGTCAACAAAAAAAATTTTAATAAAAAATTGTGTGATTAAATAACTAATTTGAAATATATTGCACAGTGCCTTATCGTACATAGAAAGTATCGTTCGAAAAGTAGAATAATAAAACGTATAAAGAGAGAGAGAGAGAGAGAGAGAGAACTTTAAAAATGTAAAAACATGCAAAAAAAAAACCATCACTTCTTCATAGGTCAGAGACAATATTAAAAAAATATATAAAATAAAATGATGAACAAAATGCTTCCTATACGTTAAACGCCACGACAATGCTGCCAGTGATCTATTGTGTTAACGTCTTGGGGCCTTTAAGACGACGGCTATGCGTTTTTTTTTTTAAATATTTTTTTTTTTTTTTAGGACTAATCCCAATGGGAATTTTTGTCACAACTTACGTCCGCCTGTAACATGGTGTAATGTTCTTCTTTGGCGCTCAACGACTCCTTAAGTACTCCAATGTGCCTCTGGTAGTCGGTGTGCTGTTCCTCTAGGGTTTTCATTTTGGCGCTCATGGCCACAATTTCTTGATCACGCCTTTGGATTTCCGACCGGAACTCTTCCAACTGTACACGATACCAATATTTTTTGTTTGTTTTAATTATACGACTACTACGCCGGACAGTTATAACCTCTCAATGTCACACACACACACACAAAAGGAACGTTTGAAATAATGTAATTTTTTTTTCGATGGGGGGGAGGGAGTAGGAGCGCACACCGTAAGACATAATGATAATATTATAATACACAGCGAGTATTTTACACTAAATGGATGTGTTTTTTTTTTGGAAAGTTAGCGTTAAGTACAAAAATTAAATTAAAAAAAAAACTACATCAGTCAAAAATATCAAACAAACATGCACTTTGCTCGGTCGACAAACGCGTGCGCGTTCATTACTATACAAGATCACCGAGCACAATATCATAAGTATGGGTTTACCTGTGTTGTTATCACTACCATATAGGTTATCGAGGAAACATGCATCTCGATAGTTAATAATTGTTTTTAACGATTTTGTACCTATATGGTTGGCGTAAAATGTTTTATAAAACTTGTCCTGTCTGCTAACAGTGTTAAATCAATACACCGTGTACAATGTCCACGCTATTTGTATTATTCAATTATTTCGACGTCTGGTAAACGCGATAAATAATAATACATAGCCGTATCGGTTTGATCATTAATCTTTGAACCTATATTTAAATGCAACATAATCAAATCGCATCAATCATATGATGGAATTATTCAAACCGCGTTCATCGTACCGTTGTTGTTTTTACAAAATTCAATAAAAAATACTTAAGCCTCCGTTAAAGTTAGTTAAACATTTTTAAATGAAAATGGTGGGGGTATAGAATAATTGAGAGGGTCCAATCCACTAGTACGGATAGCACGGGAAATCCTAGTAATATCCCTAAGAATTTTTATGCAGGATTCGTATGGGGAAATACAATGTCATAGAGATATCTCGAGGAGAAATTTGAGTCTATTCAACTGAATTATGGAGACATTGTAAGTGAGCTGTACCCGGCAACCCTGTACGGTTCCTGGGTCTAAATTAAAACACTAAGACGGCGATCCTATTTGGGTAAATTGTGAGAACATCCTCTTTTTAAGGCGTATTACGATGTTGCTCTTACCTTTTTTTACTTCGACGATGATCGACTGTCATATTATTTTATAATCGAAGTCACAAATGCGTATACAACATATCTAATATCTATATCTACGGGTGTGTGATACTAATAGTAATATTGTTATGAAAAAACACAATAATTACAAATCCAGTCTGTTAAAAGAGATCACGCGCCCACGCAGTACAATTAGCCAAAAGCAAAACCGGCGGGTAGATTCGAATCAGATGTCGTACCACACCAGTCGAATGGACTAAGGGGACAACATATTTGGTAAAAAAAAAACAAATTCAACAATTCTTCCTTGAAAGGAAGACATTCGATTGCGAACACGTCTTAGGATTGACTGACTAATATTGGTCTTCTGCACTGAACTCAATATACAGGGTGTATCAAAAAGAATGGTGGGGTTTCAAACGGCTGTAGGTTGTGAAGTATTGGACCTACAGCGCTCTGGTAGGGCTTGAATGAAAGAGGAAGTTGTCGAGTTTCGAATGACTGCCACTAGACGTCTCTCCGCGTTCCCGCTTGTGTCGCCACATTGTTCAGTTTGTTAAGATGGCGTCCTCATAGGAGAAGTGATCGAGTTCGCGAAGCGTAGTTCAGTTACGACTATGAAACATCTACAGTCAGAGACATCTAGTGGCAATCATTCAAAACTTGACAACTTCTTCTTTCATTCAAGCCCTACCAGAGCGCTGCAGGTCCAACACTTCACAACCTACAGCCGTTTGAAACCCCGCCATTCTTTTTGGGACACTCTATATATTACGGAACGCGTATTGCCATTTTTTTACTCGTGTTGCTCCACCTTTTCTGCCACCCCCCCCCCCCCACATTTTTGCGCCACGCAAATTTTCGATAGACCCCGCGGGGTGTAAGACTTGTTCAAAGTAAAAACCAAACCAAACCAAAAAATAAATAAATAACCAAAAACCAACAAAAACAAGCGATTGGTCAAGAGTATGTCCGTCGAGAAGTCATGCGCCGCCACGGTGACTACTACTCACTTGTAGCTTGAACGCGGGAGCCCCGGCGAACTGAACGCTCCTATCGAGTGCGTGGCCGGACGATCCGGCGTATAGCCGAAGCCTGTCCAGTTCTTGTTCCAGCAGACCCACTTCTTTTTCCAGGGTGGCTATACGGGCGTCCTTGGTCTCCAGGATAGCGGTCAGCGTGCCGCCGGACCCTATCCCCGTGCTCTGCGTCTGATACGATTTCTCTAATTCCATTTGCAGCGCTTTAAGATTGTCGTTGGTGGCCTTTAGGTCCTGCGTGGTCGAGAATCACAAAACAAAAATAAAACATTGGTTTGGAAATCTGACCGCCCTCCACCCAAACCCCCCTTTTGGAGTAATATTAATAATAAAGGAATTGCATTGCCTGCCTGACCTGGGGGTGGCCATAGCGTAGTTCCATCGTGCTGCAAACAGAAAGGCAAAAGTCAGTGTGCTATGCATGCTATCACGGTGACAATATATCAACGGTAGTATTTTAAGACAAGAGGCGAAAACTTTTTTTAACACGTCCGGAATACCAACCCTGCTCGACAATGGAATTTTCTCTATTTTCTTTTCGCGTGGTCGCACTGGTTTTTGCCCTTCCGGTTACTTCACTATCGCGTACAAGCTAGTATATATATATATATATATATATATATATATATATATATACATACATACTGTAAGTTCGTTTTATTATTATATCTCATTACACTATGGCGGGGGGGGGGGACTTAATAATAGTGGGCAGGCGACTGGTATCGAGAACAGGAGCCCATTACGAAACACGGTTTGCCGTGGTGCAAACTTATATATTGTTTTATGTATAATTTGAAATAAACAACAAAAAAAACACTTGGAAAAATCGAGCGGACTGAAAATATTGTATGTACAAAAATACACACACACACATTTCATAATGCGCGTGTCTCGTTCTTAATTAAGTATTATTATTCTTTTGTTTTTGGTTTTTTTTTTTTGCATTGTGAGTGTGCCGGTGTGTGTACTCACGCGCTTCGTACTGTTGAGTTCCTGATCCCGATTCCTGATAACAGACTGGAAGTGGTGGACAAGGTTTTCACTCTCTACCAGTCGTGCCTCTAAGTCAACTTGACGGGCCTCTAATTCAATCGCTTCTACCACTTTACCACCTACAAACATCCAAAGCAATTACATATGAAGCCATCAAAATATTACACGCTATACAAAAAAAAAAAAAAAGAAATAATACTACTTTTGTTAATTGGGTTTATTTAAAAAAAAAAAATTTCAAAAATTATAAAATGCGTTTATGGTGCGACTCTACGAGTTCTCGGGCTGGTAACTCTAAGTTCATCGTAAGTGGAGACAACAAGTACGCTTCTTTTATATGATAATCGAAGCAAGAAAGAGAGAGAGAGAGAGAGAGAGAGAGAGACAAGACATTAAGACGCAAAACAATTAAAGGCAGTTTTTCCAAAGAAAACAAAAAAAAACAAAAACGTTCGAGCTTTTGTTATTTTTTTTTGTTATTATACTTAGAAATATAACTAAAAACTATATATTTTATGTCACTACTATTCTTAACCGATTCAGTGCGTTATAGACCTTGGAGGCCTAATTATTGTCCCGTCCATGTCTCATCAAGTGAATAAACAGATGCAACATTACAACCCAATTGTAATTGTAACCCACACAGCAAAAATATTAATACATTTGTACGTCAAACGAAATTTAGAGTTGCCAACCGGTGTGAACAATTAAAAATATACTCAACGTACAGCGAACATAACAAAAAAAAAAAAAATTTTAAAAATAAATAAATAATAAAAATAACAATAAAATAGGTATCTAAACGTATCTAAACAAAACTGCAGCAAGCTTGGTCGTATGTATTGTTATTGTTTTTTTTTCAAATTAAATAGGCAAATTTTTTTTTATGGTATATAGATTTGGGTGCGTGTGTACGGGTATAGTAATACTATAATATGTATTCGGTGTGCTCAAGAAAGATGATAATATAGAGAGGGAGGAAATAAGAGAGTATATATATATATCTATATATTAATAATAGTTATTATTATTATTATTATTGAGAAGATACAACAAGGCAAAACACACTGAATTGGCTGTTAACTGAAACGTTTGATTGCGAACGTTTGAAACGACCTGCTTTTGTGCCATCAACTGCATTTGCTGAAATAACTGTCTCTCCTCCTCCTTGCCTGCTAAAACAAACGCATCTTACATTTCGCTGTTAATTTTTATATTAATGTTTTTTTTAGTTTTTTTTTTATTATTATTAAAAAGTACTTTTTTGTATTATCGAATTCGAGTACAATCTCATGTTGGGAATAAAAGCCGAATTTTTTTTAAAATTTTTTAATATCATCGTTTATTTTTTTTTTTACCATACAACGGTGTAGGTGCATAGCAATATAATATAATACTCACCAACTCCTTTGTTCTGAAGCATGTCCAATAGTTTTTTAATGCTCTCGTCCCGGGACTGTAGAGTCTGTTTTTGAGTTTCTATCCTGAGCTCCAACTCCTGCGGGTGTGTTTGTGTGCAAACGATAATAATTAGAAACCCTTATTATTTCTTAAAGGGGGGGGGGGGTAAACCGAATTTACCTTTATCGTTTCCCGCAGGATGGCCACCTCTCTGGTGAGATGATCGTTTTCGTTCAACAACAGTTCCACTTGCTGGTTCATTTCCATGTTGGGGGCACGCATTCTCATCCGGAGCTCTTCCTCGAGTTGTCGCACCAACATGGATTGTTTCTGAAAAACACAACAACGGTGGCGAACAATTAGACACATTTTTCCAAATAGAGCTAAAAAATACAGCTGCAAACCCTAAAAGCTGACAGCCTAGTGTATTATTAATATGTCAACCGAGATAAAAGTGCAAAGACCTCGATTTTCTTTTTTAATTTCGTTCAAGGAGTATGTCAAGTTTTTTTTTTTTTTTTGCTTTAATCTTTTTTAAGCGAATGGTTTCTACGTTTTGTATGCTAATAATACCGTACAAACGAGGCCGTCCCTCGCAATGATTAAGGCTAATAACTTAACGAGGACCGAGTGGTCTGCTAATTAAATACGAGCCATTCTTTTGTATTCGACCAGTGAACCGAGAAGTGGGAACTGGGAGTCGTTATTAATCGTCATACTTCATCATCATAATGTTATATAATATTATATTCTTTGTGCGTTTAGTGTGTGTATTGGTCACCTCAATACGACTGGTACGGCCGGTGTTAATCGTTTAAAGAGCAAGTTAAATGCGCTCTTATAAGCTTTCCTCGGCCGCGACTTGATAGCTGCTCTAATCGCGGATGGCGTTTAATCCCATTTGCTTGCGAATAGTTTCTGTACTTGGTAGTTGCGAACAGGAGGCGGGTTTACAGTGTGGCCTTGACTGCACGGAAAAATATATTATAGTAAATTAATATCACGTGGGAACTAATTCGGTAAGAATACAATTTGTAGGTATTTTTCTCTTTTTTTTTTTTGCATTGTCTGTCCAATGACCGGCGATAGGAAAGTTCAAGGCGACAGACAACAGGCTCAGCAATCGCACACAGTGTCTTATTATTTTAATTCTAGTAAGTTTATATTATTATGATAATATAGTGTATACGACGGTAGATTGTTGAACTCTTTACACGGTATTATCATAGTAAGGCCGTATCGAGTTGGCTCATAACACCAGAGACCGATCGATAGTTTACATTACTCGGTTGTTGTTAAACAATAAACACAAGGGACATCAGTGTGCACTCAAATGTGTATACTTACTGCGGGCCACACTGTGTAAAATGAACTATATCGTAGCTTTGCTGTTTGCTGGGAAGAAACGCCATTGCTCTAATCGACAGCAATTAAGATAATAGTTTAATTAAACGACGGCCGTCGGCAATACAATAGCAAACGCACTTATACTCTGTTTTTAACGGCCACTACTCGGACTGGCTAGCGTCCAACAATTTAAAAAAAAAATAGTATTAATAATAATAATAATAATAATAAGGAATAATTATGATTAACCTAAAATACCGTCGTCGGAATTAATTAGTTCTACCGAAACGGTATCTTTAAAACAAAAAAAGAATGTAATTTAATACCAAACGCAGTGCGGGGGTGGGCTTTTGAAAAACGCTATTGTTACACTGGAATAAATCAACTTGCAAAATGAATGTGTAAACAGACATTAGAAAAAACAAAAAATAAGTTAATAAAAGATTCTCTCCATAGACGGTTAGGTGGTGCGTTAGATTTCGCTAGCATAATTATTGTTATCGTTTTCAACTTGTTAATAACAAAAATTCCTAAATCCTAAATGATTGTATCAAAATCAGTGACAATCTGTCAAAGCAATTAAAACCCAATTTGTATTGATCCCCGTGGTACCCCATATCTGAGTAGTCAGATATTATTTGTAAAAAAAAAAGAGGGATGAAACCTCTAATTGATGGCATTGATGAAAAAAAATCCATACAAACGTGTGGTTTTCGAAAAGGGTTGCGGTTAACGATTTGAAATCAGGTCAGCCCGATTTGAAATATATATATGTATATATATATGTATGATATACTATGTAGGTCACAAAAAGGGGAGATACGCCCGGCGCACATAATAGCTTAAAGGCCCACCCTCCAGAGAGTAACCAAATGGGGTTGTTTCGCTGAACGCTTTAGTTTAGCATCGCTCGACGTTGGAAAGTAGCAGGTAAAAGAAAAACGCTATCTGGTCGTTAATATAATATCATTTTTTTTTTTTGTTCTCATTCTTAAAGTATGACTGTTAGAAGAACTTTTGTCCAATCGGACATTACTTCAGAGCTTAGCATACGAGTATAATACATACATAAAACGAATAGCAAACGACGGCTATAGTGTGCTTTTAGTTGAACGACTTGAGACCCCATAGACTTTGGCGACGAGCCAAACCGCTAAGTGGATTACACTCGGGCAGAACATCAACATAATATTGTAAGTGGTGCGATTGGAGAACAAACGCTCTCAAACCCTTTCGGCGGTTAATATTTCGAAGGCAATCCGATGTGTTGACATTTATTCGTTGTGTGCGTGTTGAAATATACCAGGAACAAAAAAAATATTCTATAACAGATTTATGGATGTCCAGAAGTGGCTATAGAACTACTTGATCCAGTTGTGGTGGCACTTAATTTCACGGTATTGACAATGTGTCATGTTTGAACGATACAATTCTCAACAAAAATATGAATACAGTGATCTGGCCTACTTATCAAGATCCTAACTGGGCTCCCAGGGTTGAAAACACATAATTTGCACTACCCGTGCTCACTACCAACACCCGCAATGGATAAGAAACCTCGCGCTTAGGTTACCTGATCAAATTCGATAGGATAAACTCAACAGGTCTTGTCTTCTATCAGCTGTTCTGCTTCACCGGCTACTCCTCTTTTTTTCTTCTATCGCTGGTAACTAACAACCTAAGCTTATCTTATCGAAGGCCTTCCCTCACTAGCTGGGCATAATGTAAAAAAATAAATTGGTGATAGAAACGGACAACATTTTGTTGCGAATCGTTTGTTTGTAAATTGAAACTGACACGCAACGGTTGTGAATTCGAATTGAAGAGTTTAAATGCTGTTTAAAGTCAGCCAACCCAAATCAAGGTAAATATCAGGGTAGCTGCTATTCCTATTGGGTCGTCGGAGAACATCAGCGAAAGGAAACACTGCTTAATCGACATCTGCTCAAACAGCTAATCCCGTGTCTGCACAGAATATTGCAAGAAGACAAGGGACTGCGGCTACTGTTGAAATCCACGATTGGAGACTTGAAATTTCATGATTGTGAAATTTCAAAAGATCATATGCATTGCATTGGGCATTCCGCTCTGGAAACACGACAAGATAAAACCGCAGAAATTGGTTCGATTGTGGGGTGGGGAAGCAGGGGAGGGGTGGAGGGGAAGTGCTCACACACGACAAACGCTGTCGTGAAAAAATTTCCCGTGTCTTCCGACAATGATAACTTATGGTAAGAATGGTCTTCGATCGGCGGTCGTGCTTTACCGTCGACGACCTTTTCCTTAGGTGTAGGTATGCCTTACCTACAGCTGTTGTCGTCCCCGGGAAAGCGGCCGCCGCCTTCCATAATCAATAGGCCGAGTCGAGCCGTTTAAAGGCATCCACCGCGGCAAGTACACGCCGGTCGTGTTGGTGTGTAACGCTCTCGGTGACATGTGAAAATACCATAATATACACAATCGCTTATCGGCTAAACGGTTGAATGCGCGGGTTGTATGCCTATCGAAGAAGGCAAACAGATCAAACAAGTGACACGTCTAAACCAGGCGGAAATAGTGGAACATTTTCGTTCGTGCTCCAACCCAACCTCTCCTTTTTGTTTGTTTTTAATTATTGATTTTCAGGTCAGTCGTAAGACGGACTAATTTAAGGACGAGACCATCAAATTCCAGATTTTTACAAAACGTTACTACGACCTTTTGAAATATATACAAGTACAATTTGTATAATGTAAATATAATATGTATTCCAGTTAAATATATTTGTTGAAAATGTTTAAAAAAAAAAAAAACATAACTACATAAAAGACAAGGTCAATAAAATTCAAACGTTTTCCGTTTTAAAGTTGCTCTTTCAAATAATCAAAATTAAAAAAATTAAACGATTGAACATATTTTATCCGTATGGGCTTGTAAGTGGACTAATCACACTTGTATGGTTTGTTTTTTTAGTAAAAAATAATTCTGCGTTCCATGCATATAATGATAGGAAATATCCGGAAACAATAGGAAATTTTAATTTTAGATTATTTCACTAATTTCTTGTAATTGAATCAAATCTTTGCACTATTCAAAATCTAAACGTGCCTTTTGATTTCTATATCATCGAACAGAGCTAAGATGGTTTTAACACGATTGGTGAATGAATGGTACAATCCACAGAGGTTTACAAAACGGCTAAAGCGTTCGTTGAAGAGGTCGTCCATAGGTTTGCATGGGATTTGACCTAGCGGCTTAGTAAATCGACATGTAAACGTGAAATTGCATACCAAAGGCAGAACGGGAAAGCAAATTAGATACACATGTGCATTCATCTACTCGAGTTTGGTCGATTTTCCTTAATGTAATCGACAGGCTAATTAAGGACTTGGAGTTTGTTATAATTTACTAAAAAAGATGGAATAGAAAAAAACCCTGATGGAAAATTGACGTTTTTAAAATAGCTTCGCCAGGTCAATGATTAATGAGTTCAAGGCTTTGTTTTAAAACGAGACTGAACCTTTTTATTGAGTGAAGTTTTTTCGCGACAATATTGTATTTCAAAATTAAAATATCTTTACACGTCCAAAAGGTTTACCGATAACGACTTATGAAAAAAAATTACAAAATAGAGTAACAACATACAAAGCTGTAAAAATGCAAATCTAGTTACGTTTTATTGATGATGATATTATAATATGATATATATTCTTATTATTTTTTTTTTTATTTACAAAAAGGTTACACGCGGTTATTCAATCAGTAAAATGCTCGTTTAAACATTTATTCAAATGTGTGACAAACCGCTTTTGTACTGTATTTTTTTTTTCCATACCTGTTTGAAAATTATGTTAAAACGAAATTGTGAAAAACACCACAATAAACTATTTTGAATTTATGGCGTCGATCAAAACGAGTTAACATAATAATTTGCATACCGCTCGTTTGCATTTTACATTGGCAACCCTTATGTAACAATTGTCCTTTGAAGTTTTACAGGTAATACGAATTGGCGGGTTAATTTTTTTTTTCAGTACATTAACCTTCGCTTTGGTAGACAATAATTTGGTTTAACCGTCATCGTCCCTGGGTAACTTTAAACTTAACCGAGTTAGATTTGTTTTTTTTTTTTAAATTACTTTTTCCCCAGACAGTTAATAATATATATTCATCGGGTCTGGGGCATGGCAAAACAGCCGGTCGACCTTCAACCCGCGTCGCTTGTGGCCTCGGCCTTATCAATCAATTAAATCTTTGAGAAACAACAAGGATCGCGGCCGACACGGAGCTTGTAAAAATATAATTTCCGGCAAACCTAATGAATGAATGTGTGTGCTGTACGCCAACATCCTGTCGGTCCTCGCCCTTCCATTGTGTAATTGATCGGTGTGCCATAATATCTAACTACACATCCCTATCCCCGGACCATTCGGCGGTCGCACACCGTGGAATAGTAATAATAATATTATATATTATAGAGCTGTAACAAATCCTATATCTCAGCAACGAAGTAATCAAAAAGACGAGCAACAGTGTGGCCACCTTAATTGAAGTCACCATTTTCCGCATCATCTTTGTGGGAATTATAACCATATCGCGTGGAAATATTGTGTTTAGAACAATATTATAAGTTAAGTCGACAACACAGGAACACAGATGTATAATCGTATTTGTTATGTATTATTTTATAAGCACATAAATCCCACAAAAATGGCCAAAAGTCGACTTCAATTATTATCACTAGTTAGCAATCTAGATCTTTTCAGAAGCTCACTTCCTCCCCCCCCCCAACATTAGTGTAGCAATATAATGTGCGATACAATATGCCGTATGCATAATAATTTATATTTTGATTCCTTGATTTGGGAAACACTGTTTTTTGGGGAGGGGAAAATTCTGAGTCAATACCAATTAACATTGACTATCCGGTATTAGCATTTATAGTATTTGATCAAGCATATTATATATATATATATATATTTGTGGTTCGGAGAAATATAATTCCGTCGTTGTGGCCACACTGCAGCCTAGTCTTTTCGTTTTTACTTGACAATATTTTACTTATTGGCGACCCCCCGTGGGATTTCGATGGTAGACTCTTCGTCGAGGCAAGGCAAGGCAAGGCAAAAGAGAAACATGTGTACGTTTATTATATAATATTTTCGGCGGCAATGTTTACCCTACATGGTGGGTCTGGTCTGGATCGTCTTTTTCCTTTTTTTTTTCTCGGACGACCCAAGACGGCCAAAGAATTTCGGTTATCACAAAAAAATAAACAACAACAACATCACGGTCCATTGTGACCCGAACAAACGACGGCCGTATGTCGAGAAAATTCTCAAGTTCTCTCTATATTTCTCTCTTTTTTTTTTTTTGTCCTCTGTTTGCACCCCTTGTCGGGTTTAAAACCTCCCTCGCCGGCCAAATTCGATCGGTTAACGCGAACCGACACAATGCTATATTATATGCAGGTCGTCGCCGCCGCTATTAATCGCCGTTTTCCAAAACACATGGCTCAGCGCGTGGATTTAGCTCATTTTTTATTAGCGTTTATGTGGTTAAAAAACAAAAAAAAAAAATCAATAATTCGGTTGAAAGAGACGTCAGCGGCGTGTAAAGTACATTACCGTCGTCGTCGTCGACGTTGATCGAAAACTCAATAATAATAATTACTGTTACTTGCACTATAATAAGGGCGGTAATGGGGGTGTATTGACAAGGAAAAGTCTAAAAGATTTTAATTCAAATTACACCTCTTATACTATTCGGAGAAGGCCTGTGTAATATACAAATGGTACAGCTGATATAAAGTCTGTATTTTGATGTACAACACAACAGGATTAAGGTATTTGTGTAACTTGTTTTGTGGAACATCATCAAGGCACACATCTTATGTGTGATTTTATTAGTTTAGCTAATTGGATTGTGGTTGCACACACTGGTAGATGGGAGCAATGGCGGTGCTGGCACCACCAAAAGAGCAAGTTGAAGGGTCGTAATCCCTTCAGCAAATTATGTTTCCTAACCGAATTCAAATAAAGGAGATGCTGTGTGCGTTTGGCCTGCATGTATGTATAACCGTGTCCATAATATGATTTTCTCGAGCTTCGCCGGACAGATTTTAACTAGTATTTCATACTAACCGAATCACTGAAACATCCATATTCTTATGAACAAAAAAAATATACCTGTCTAGCGTTTGAATTTACAAAACTAAATCAATACGGTCACAGATTGCTATAGGCAATTGTTCCCGGAATGGTCGTGGTTTAACCGGTTTGAAGTCGTCAAACTGCGGACGAGACTTTGACGGTTTTATACTTACTTAGTTCAGGCAGACGATTTTCCAAAGAGATTCCTTTGGCGAACCCTCGGCAATCGGTAGGTACATGTATAATAATAATACCATAATAGTCTGAACAGCTGCTTCGTGTCTTTCAATACACAGGTGCCGTGTCTTTGGGGGGGTAGGGCGTTTCCAACACACCGAGTCATATTATATTGTTATATACTATGTATATTTGGCGTTGTTAAGGGACGAAAATATGCTGCACAGTCGGAACAATATAAAAAGAAACCAGCTCTAAAAAAAACCCAAGAGATGGATCGGAATAAAATATGATTGGCATTTGCTAAACGGTTAGGCGAAAATGTATAGGTGTATATACATTAACGACCGAAGCGATAAAAAAACGTTTTCATCGACAAAAAAAAGTACACAACAACGCGGGTGTATTATATATTATTATTATAATAGAACGTTTTTATTGAAAAGTTGTCAACGTATGATCGTTTACGCCGACAAGTCGTTTTTTTGAGATAGAAAAAAAGTAATAACAATAACGCCAAGTTAGGTCAGGTTAAGCTGCTTCTTTAACAAGTGAATTTGCGCCACGGATTTATATAATATAATTACAAACACTTAAACTCTTAGATCCTCGTTTAAACTTCTTATAAAATCTAAAAAAAAAACGGTTCGTGCGTTCCTTAAAAATAGACCAGAGAAAACCCTTCGACCTATTTAAGCTTTTTTTTTTACTACGCCTAACGATGATCAATCTCTCTTTCTTCTTATACTTAAAAAAAAGGAATAAATGCGAGACACGGCCATATCGTTACAAAGTTCACTTTGCAAATCAATCGTTTCGGACCGTGGACTTTCAGACACCGCAAGTAATTATGGCAAAATGTGTTAGAAAATACATTTTTGATTAAGACATTAAATGTCTGTTGATTCCTTAACGCGAGAGTAAGAAAAGTTGCCCACCCCAAATCAGAAACCACCGTTTTAATTTTGTGTTTTCAGTGCTAAGTCTTATTTATGTGTCACAATGAGCATGAGACGATTCGGTAATAGCTGCGTACCTGATTTTCCGAGTGGAGCAGCTTGAGCTGGTCGTTTATGAGCGAGTATTTGGCCGATTCCTCTTTGCGGAGTGCCCGCTCTTTCTTCAGCTCCGGACTCCAGAACGTCTTGATGCTGTGCATGCTCGATCCCAGCTTCTGGTTGGTCAGCTCCAGTTCTTTTTTCAAGTTGGACAGCTCGCGGTGCAGGTCGGTGTTCTGATGCTGGAGCTCGCCCAGGAAGTGTCCCGTGTCCCGGGCGTTGGACATGAAGTGGCCGCCGGCCGGCGATTGCCGGGACCGGGACGACGCGGCGACTCCGTACGGGTCGTCGTCGATGGACGAGAACCCGTAACCGCGGTCCCTGTCGAACGGCCGGTAGTCGCGATCGTGGTACGCGCTCGGCTCGGACAGAATGCCGCCGGCGGTGTTCCTGTCCAGCGACGGGTACCGGGTCGGCGGCATGACGCTCACGCGGTCCGTGGCACGGGTGGCGCTCCGGGACCGGTGGGCCGGCGTGCCGGACGGCCTCATCGGCCGGCCCCGTTCCTCGAGCAGCACGGGACTGTTGAGGTCCTCGTCCCTACCGTAATACGAACCGGCCATGCCTCCGTCCATGACGCCGCCGACGCCGTTCTGGTACGTGCCGATGTGGTCCGGCGAACCGGCGCCCGGGCGCACCGTCCTCCGGCCCACCGGGCTGTTCCGCTGCCCGGCGCCGCCGCCGCTGCCGCCCGCCGGATACGTCCGGGAGGGCGAACGGTCCACGGTGGGCAGTTCGGTGGTTATGCGCCGGTTGCCCCTGGGCGACCTGGTGCCCGACGCGCCCAACGACGACCCCGGCCCGTACGGTTCTCTGGCCGACATTCTGGTGCGTTGTCGTTACCGTCTTGTGTGTAGTGTTCTCTCACACGGCCATGTTTTTTTATTAATTTTTTTTTTTGTCAAAACGGAATCACACGACGCGCACACACTTGTGTACGGGCACACACGGTGTCTCGCACTCAGTCGGTCGACGACCACGGGCCACGGTGAAGACGGTACGGCGGACACGGGCGGGTACACCACACTGACGCAGTACACACACTCACAAACGGGCGAGCGCGCGCGCACCACCGGCACGGCGCACGACTATAATACGATTTGGAATAGTACACACGGACAACACGCCGGACGCGTTCGAGGCCAGCTGCTGCTCCCTGATCAATGAAGACCCCTTCGGGCCGCCGCGCCGACCGACACCGCCGTCACACCGTCCGCCTGCGCGTTGCCGTTGTACACCGCTGTACGGCCGCCGTCGGCCAGGGCGGGTCAGGCCGTTTGAGAAAACGCGAAAATCGGCCTCAATTTATTTTTATTTTTTTTTTCGTCTTTCACGCGCCACCCTAGAATATAATAAAATACAGGGTGATTCAGTATACAGGCATTTTGTCAACAACTTTACCTGCGTCCAAGCGTTTTTTTTTTTCATTCTATTTTCGATAACCTATGACGTGGATTATTGAAAGCGGTCCGCTTGGTATAGTAGTACTTTGTTGACTACTTCCTTGTTAGGATGGTCCGATTTCAGTTCAATGTAAAGACACTATCCGTGTTGTTCGGCAACTTTAATAGGTTATGTAGGAAACGGAATTTTGAACTCGAATCTTTTTACAGAATTTAAATCGGACCATCTAAAGTAAGTGTATTTTTGTCAAGCTTTTAGGTCTGAAATACCATCAAAATGACGTTTACTCGTTGAACAAAATTGTACAAGTTGAGTATAATACTTTGAAACTTGTACAAATTAATCTGTTAATAAAATTGACACGGTCGAAATTTGTTAAAAACCCCATTATTTCTTAGATATTGCCTATATAAAACCCCTTAAAAACCGACCGCTTTCAATCCCCTTAAGGTGAGAGCGAAAGCCATGTTATTCTTACGAGAATCCAATTTAGCCATAAAAGCCTGATAAAATTACGCCTATACTTAGAACGATCGGATTTTAGTTTTGTAGAAGTATTTAAGCCTATTGACTTTTTTCACCAGGTTATTGTGAAAGTCGAATTTTAAATAACTGTTTCGTTTATTTTTCTCTTTTCTAAGTTGTTGTGACAATTGTTATTGTAATTTATCCTATAAAAAAATTACTGTGATAATCTGACAAGTTGATAGCGCTCTGGAATATACTGAAAAAAACGAAATATTTGCTGATTTTATAACATTTTATACAATCAAATAAGTACAAACGTCTCCAAAGATAAAAACGAACGTCTTATCCTTAAGTAGACGTCTCACGTCGTACCCTCTATTTATTAAGGAGTTAGGTATAGGCACTTTTGTTGAAAAATCCTAATTTAAAGGTTCAGCTGTGTTGTGTCAGTAATTAGGACTTTTTTTTTTAGAACTTCTACTCTCTGACCGTTTCGCTTTTCCATGAACAGGTGCTTACGATTTTTTTCAAAGGGCATCCTCTTAATGATGCACCCTATATATATATATCTTATAAGGGTAAGATATATATATATATATGTATATACCTGTGTTGTATTATATTACTGGAAAAAACATATATTTATATATGGTTCATACAGTGACCCTAATTTTCGGTTAGCCACCGCCGGAGTCTGGTATTGTATTTATTTGATTTTATCCTTCACATCTCGGTTAGGTTTTCTTTTTCTTGTGTCTCGTTTGCCACCAGACATCCGGGGCGGCAATATGGAAATCGATACGGTACGCGTGTAATACTAATAAAAAACTATACAGGGTCATTGAAATGTCACGATTTGCATTGTTTTACGATAAGGGCGAAATTCGTGGAAAAAAGCACATTAGACAACATATATTGTAACGTATGTACTAGTTTTGTACAATTAAGACGGGACTGATGTAATATTGAAGTAGAGACTTGTCGGCGACCAGTTTTGGGTGTATACTTATTTTTCAATACTTTATTAGAATATAAAATATGCGTATACAGACTGGGAGCGAGGTGGTCTGTAATGATTGTTAGATCCTCATTCTCACTCTCTCAAACAACCCTTTTGAGATGATGTTTTTTTTTTATTAAATATATATTTTTTTACCTTCGAACATAACATGGGTTTTATTAGAAACTTTTTGGGCTTACAATATTAATTCAGTTAAAAAAAAATATATGTATACATCACTGTAACATGAAATTTCAAATTGACATTCGGTGTTTTTATTCAAATCTATTCAAAGACATAATATGATGTAAATATATTTTGAATTTTCAATACTTGTTAATACATATTAATATGTAATATGACAGCAGGCAAAGATTTGGTATAATGATAACATATTGTATGTAGTATGTACTCGCCATTCGTAATAAAAATATGCTAAGTACATTTTTAAAATTTTTTTTTGTTACCACCTGATACGATAATGTTTATTCCACCAACAATAACAATAGGTACAATTATATTAGCATAACAAAAGAATATTATGCAAAATCAAGAATACATCTATGTATAAACTATTTTTTTTTCAATAATAAGCAACGCGTTATTGCGCCATTGTAATATTGATCGTCGCGCTTGCTTTACTTGATGAAAATAAAGTTTTATTATTATTTTGACAAACTCAAACAAGAAAAAACAAAGGCAATTTAGTGAGTTGGATAGGTACCAGCTAATTTAGTGATGGGAAAAATTATATTAGTTAATTATCTATTTTTCTGACCATTCACAATCAACAGTTTCTTGGGGGTTCAACAGTGATTTCTAACATAAAATTAAGTTACAACAATATGTTTGACCATATTTTCTGGAACGCCAAACACTATCGTTGACAACTTGTGTTGTTTTTATCCAATGCAATTTTGTTTGTAATGTTTCCATGGACGTTTCTGAACGGTATTATTATTATTATAAAAACGTATTATTTATTATGATTACCTCACACCCTTGCGTCTTATTAATAATAATATTATAACGATGACAATCGACCACAATATAATTATTGTACAAAGCCCACAGTATACCAACTTAGTGTTAGACAGTATTGTTCAACACACAATTGTGCTTTTACCGGATCTATATAGATACATATTGAAACGGTTAACTCATATACATAATATAGCTTTGTTGGCTTGTGTTATACATAATACACTTGGTTTATCCACAATACAGACGGAAACCGCATTGGGTAATCCAACAATGTGTATCATAACAAAAGGGAAGCATGAATTTATTATAATGTGTACTTTTTAGTTTTTCAGTCAAATCGTAAGACAGAATTTATTATGACAATTGAATTTATATTTTTACGGTTTAAATACATATTCGGCATGAGCATAATATAATAATATGTAATGCACTTAGTAAACGACAAACGATAATGGCCACAAAAAAAAAAAGTATAATATTATACTTGGCGCCAATTATTTTAGAAAACCTAAATAAATAAAATTTGTTAGGTAACATGCATTAATTTCAGCGTGTTAAATCTACTTGAAACTAACGGTGTATACAAATTGTTTGACAGCTTTGAAAACAAAGTACCAGTGTATAATTTTTCTTTTGTAATTAAAAAAAAAAAGTATGGAAATTTCCGAATAACAATAATAATATTATGAATCACCTTAGTTGTTACAAAAGTGATAGAGGCAATACAGCAAGATATAATATTTTATGTAACTTCAATATGTGTGTTTATAAAATAGTATGGTTTATGGTACTCGAATAAACTACATGACTTACAATATCGAATGCGTTATTGTTTATTCAAGTCAACCTGAATTTTCATATTTATTTTTTTGGACATTTTAAGTACCTGTTCAAACTTGAATTGAACATGTTATTAACATAAGCTGGTGCTGCTAACATATGTGTTTATGTATGAAACAGCCACGGCGAAACAAATAATAATATGGTAATAGTACATCAGTCAATTATTTACCCACAAATATTGCTTATGTTTTTTTTTTGTTAATCTAAGATTACTTTTGGTTAGTCGACAAGAACGGCAAAACCAGAGTGTCTTGTTGAAAATCCATCTTAGCGCTGCCTGTTTAGCAGAAAATGACACGAGGACCATTCCTGTGTGTTTTCCTGTTGTGTTTGGGCACTCTGTTTTTAGAAACGACAAGCACAAGTAAACTAATACACGAGATAAACTTGTTACTGCGGAACAAAGGTTGGTCCTCTCTGGAACCAATGGACATTCGGGAAAACGGAATGTATCATACCGTTCAGTGCGGTGCATTCGAGACGATCGGCGACCACAAGATGAAACCGAAAGACATAAAAGAAAAAATGCGGCGTGTACATCAGCTGTTGAGTTGTGAGTACGCTTTTTGGTTCACAAAATTTTGCAATTTCGAAGCAAGTTACGGTCAACAGTGCAAAAGAATAAAGGAACCTTATGTGTTATTCGATTGCATGGAAGACTATGTGCAAGACATTCAAGAGGGCAACCTAATATTCGCTTTGACAATGATTGCTTCGCTGTCATATTTTTACAGGCTTCTACCGGACGTCGCCTTCAACCGTCAGGTCACGGAAATCATTGAGTATTTCAAAAGTCACTACAAGCTTAATAAAGCACTGGACGGTTTTAAATTCTTCTACGAAAACGGCGACGGAATCAAATTGTTTAAAATGGCGGTGTACATTCAAGAAATCCAAGACGTCTTATCCAATGTAGTGAGGTTACTGCGCATGTTTTTCATAAGTAATTGCAGGTTTAAGGCAGACTCTAGAGCGCTGGATGACGTGTTCTCCACCAAGTCAGCTGCAAGAAATCAGACCAAGGATCCCGTAGAATCGATAAAAGAAATAAACGCCGGTCTAGAAACGTTGGCCAATGGTTTTTCTACGATAAACAACAGTCTTGGGTTCGCATTGGCATTTGATACTAAAGATTTTGATAGTTTAAAGCCTGTGTTTCAAAATCACCCGCACTTGCCGGGCACAACTTTATCGGCAAATGCACGTACGACCCAGTTAAACGAGCTTCTGGAAAAACCCGAATGGCTATCGACGGATGTTTATGGTAACAATTTGAGCATCTTGGAGTCTGGAGAACGATACAGCTTCAACGAGTTATTCAAAAGCGGTGCTAAACGTCAACCGGTGACGTTGGAAAACTTTGACAGTAAATTTCGACAAGTGCATCAGGCATTAAGCTGCAAGTTCGCCGGAACGTTAAAGGATTACGTCGATGTCGGCA